ATTAGAAAGGTTTAACAAAATGACACTCTTTATATACGAAAGGTACATATTCCAGTACAGCAGCAGTCCTTAGCCATTTTGGGTCATGAAGCCCTCCGAAAATGTGCAAGGACTCACCCCCAGAAAGTATCACACACATTTCTACACACAATTTTACCAGGTTTATGGCACAGATTTTCAATCCAGTCCACACATTAAAATCATCTGGAGAGTTCATAAAAAACCCCAATGCACAGACCTTACTGATTTAATTGCTTTGAGTTAGGTCCCAGGCATCAGTATTTTTTAAAGCTCCTTAAGTGAACCTGACATAAAGCCAGAGATGATGAGATCCACTATTCAAAAACTCCTTGAAATCTCCCCATAAAACCCTTTCATTCACTCATTCATTCAACAAAGATGTTAATTATTTGAAACATCTGACATCTAGCCAAAAATTTTGAAGAGTCCAATAGAAATGTAGTCCAGTTTTTCCTTTGTTTCATAGTCACTACTAGTCAGTAGTCTGGCAGATTGCCAGTATGACTTGCATTATTAGAAAAATTCTTCAGGAATCAAATACTAATGATTCTCACTTCCAAATTAATGGAACCTTCACAAAGGACAGGGTCACCAGACCACTTAAAACAAACATAAAGGAATGCGAAACAAAACAAAATGATTCTGAAGTTTTCCTATACTGTTTCTTATTACAGCTCTTGGATGGGCTCAGGAAAACCACAGAAGCCAGGGAAGCACAGGCCATAAAATATTTTCATTTTCAAATAGAGCTTTTGAGAGTATTCTATTCTAAAATTATATAAAGCAACGTGATTCAATGACAAACGTTTAGTGAAAGGATAAGGAACTGACACAATGGGAGGAAAAACAAATAGCTAATATTCTGGAGAGAGTCAGGCTGACCAATAAAACTGCAAAGATGTGAGAAATAAAACCACATTTATTTAACATTACTATAAACATTGGCCTCAACAAGCTTCCCTACTCACCTCATCCATTCACCTCCATTCCAACATATGATCTACATATATACAAGCATATATATGTACTATTTTTTAAATTAATAGATTCATTCCATAAATATTACTCTGTAACTTGTTTTTGCTCTTTATCATATACTTTGAAGATCTTTCCATACAGTCTTATATATATAAACCTATCCTACTCTATTTAAAACATGCATAATATAGAAAAATGGTGGTTATGGTATGGATATACCATAATTCAACTAATCCCTAATGAGTGAATATTTCAGATATTTCCAGTGTTTTGACAAAACAAAGGGACTGTTTTAAAACCTTTATAGTCCTTGGTCTCTACCCAAATTAATATCATATATACTAAAATGTGATTTCTCAGAAATCCACATTCATATGCAGATATTAAAATCTAACTTTATTGTATGCCTAAAATTAATGTAACACTGTATGTTAACTAGAAGAAAAAATCTAACCTATGAATTTTGAAATATTTTTGTGTTACTGAATTTAATAATTAATGAAAGTGACATAGTATAACATGTAACATAGTATTCTTTTCATATTTAGGAATTAACAAAAAGTTTTCAGATCTCAAGTATTCCATAAAGCCCCTGAAAAACTTAAGCATTGTGCTTGGAGTCCTCAATGTATAAAACCACCCAAGCAATAATTCAAAAACAACAAAAACCAATACAGAGAACTGGCTTTGTGCCAGGGACTAATCTAAGTATTCTACATTTATTCATGCACATGAGCTTTACAACAACACTATGAGTTGGGTGCCATTATTATTACCATTTTATATCTGAGGAAAATGACACACAAAGGGACTAAGTAATCTGCCCAGTTTCACAGAAGTAATAACCCATTCTGTCAGGATTCAAAATAAGGCAACCCACCATGCTATGCTTATACGTATATCTTTGCTTACTTAAAAGCTAAAGTTCTAGAAATACAATTTCTAAATCAAAGGATATGAGCAAGTTGAATTTGGATATATATTGCCAAATTATCCTCCAAAAAGCTTACACTAATTTACATTTCTGCCAAGACTTTGTAAGAGGGCTTATTTCTCCATACCCTACATAAGAGTGGGTATTATCAAATTATTTAATCTTTGCCAGTCTGGTAGGTGAAATACCTTCCTTTTTAAAAATTGATATTTCCTTGAGGCGCTTGGGTGGCTCAGTAGGTTAAGTGACCAACTTCAGCTCAGGTCATGATCTCACGATTCGTGGGTTCCAGCCCCCACTCTGCACTGCTACAGCTCAGAGCCCAGAGCCTGCTTTGGATTCTGTGCCTCTCTCTGTCCCTCCTCTGCTCAAGCTCTCTGTCTCTCTCTCAAAATAAATAAATAATCATTTTTATAAAAATAAAAATAAAAATTGATATTTCCTTAATTGTCAAAGGACTATTGGTCATTTGTACTTATTTTTCCAATGCTGTTCATTTGTTTCATTCATTTCTATTGGACATAATATTTCAACACAATCAACAACAAAATTAATAATGCCTCAAGAAAGAAATTAGTTTAACTTTAAAGCACTAATATTATGGTAAAAATAAAGTGAGACTTTGGATTATATTAAATATATATGTGTGTGTATGTGAGTATAATATATATATATGTGAGTATAATATATAATATATATTATATATTATACTCACATACATACACATATACATATATTTAATGGAAATAACTTAAACCATTTTAACAGTGCCAATAGACACACTGAATAACTCATTCCTGGAATAAAATTCTTGAGAAAAGCTTACTCTTAAACCCCTATCCTGAATTTAGACACTGTTCAATGAAATATAGCTAAAGTTTTGCCTCAGTAAGATGTAAGCAATTAAATCTTCTACTACACAAAAAAAAATATTCTACCACATTATCAAAGATTTATTATCCTTAATTTATTACATTTTTCTTCATCGCTTCATCACCATAATTAAGAAATAATGATTTATGTGTAGAACTAGTTTTGTTCTCATTATACCCTGAAAAGCAATAAAACAAATTATTATTTAGTCGCAAAATCTCTTATTTTACATAAGTTTATATCAGGTAACTATTTTTAATTTTACCCTATTATACTCCAATATCTCTATGCTCATCCTTCTTGTTGTTTATTAAAATAAGTTGATCAATTTTAGCATAAACACCTTGAAGGTATTAACCCTTGCAACCTGAAATATACAATAAATGTATTTTGATGAATAAATGAATACATTTTGGGGGAGCAACAGAATGATAAAAAAAACAGGAGTAATTTATGTCATATTCCTACACCAGCACAGAAATCAAAAAATTAAATTTGTCACTGCACAAGAATTGAGAAACTCTACTATCCATTTTGTGCCATGAACCCAACTCTATTGTTCACAGCAGGGTTTCTCAACCTTGGCACTATTAACATTTCACCCAATAATTCTTTGTTGCAGGAGGCTGTTCTATGCACTGCAGGATATTTTGCAACATCCATGGCCTCTACCCACTACCTTTCAGCAGTGCCGTCCCACCTGATAGAGAAAAATGTCTCCAGATATTGTCAAATGTCCCCTAGAGACAGTGAGGACCACTGGTTTAAAGAGAGCTAACATTATAAGAGAATATCTAAATCCAAAATGAGACTCCTGTGAACGACTTCAGAACCTGGGAACAGCTTCAAGAATCCCAATATGGCTGCTTGAAAAATCTCCCTAATGTACTCCCACACCTCCATTCCACTCATCAGCAGTCAATCCACCATCATTTTTAAGCCTTCAATTTGCATGGGTGATTCAACAAGAATTTGTTAGTTTCTTCAATCCCATCTGCCTAACTTTAAAATTATTAAACTCCTTTCCAAGACCTAGTTCCAGCGTCCCACACTCAGTTAATTATCTATTACTATTACTGAACTATTACTGAACAATAGAAAGGAGAGTGTTTAATTATATTAGATGGGGACTTTTGGCTGAGTCTTCTGAGGTAAAGTGCCAACAGGTCATATGATATAACTGTCCAATACTGAAGAGAAAATGAGTGCATAATCACTCCTAGCTGTGGTTCTGACTCAAAAGACAAATACATACAGTACTTATCATTAATAAAAGTTTCTTTGTGTTGCTGCTAAAACAATCAAAGGATGAGTTAATTATTTAAAAGTAGAATGACTTGTTTTCTAAATTTAAAAATATGCTATTAAAGACTCTAATATTTGAAAAGGACTAAAAAACAAATTAAGATTTCTCAAAACTCCTTTAAAATATTAGGCAACAAAACAACAAAATGAAGAAAGAATTTATGTCTTTAAAGAAGACATCCCTAAGAGAAAATAACTCAATTAAAAGTCAATTTTTTGTACTAAACACTTCTGATATCTATGAGTCTCTTCTTTAACACTCAATATCCTCATTTCCAAAATAGTTCTGCCAAAAAGTTTTAAGCACTGAATGGAATAGATATAGGCAGATACAGATAGATATAGACACATATATAAATAAGTTTGAAAAGAATGAACCATTATTCCAATATAAGATATCAGCAATAACAGAGCAAATGAATATAACATCACACAGAATTCTGATTCTCAGAATTACCAAAATTAGTGATCAAAATGAATAAAGTTAACATATTTCTCAAAACATTTTTTTCTGACCAAACAACAATCAGTTCTTTTTTTTTTTTAATGTTTACTTATTTTTGACAGAGAGAGAGAGACAGACAGACAGAGCATGAGCAGGGGAGGGGCAGAGAGAGAGGGAGACACAGAATCCGAAGCAGGCTCCAGGCTCCGAGCCGTCAGCACAGAGCCCGATGCGGGTCTCAAACTCACAGACCACGAGATCATGACCTGAGCCGAAGTTGGACGCCCAACCGACTGAGCCACCCAGGCGCCCCAACAATCAGTTCATTTTTAATTTACTTTTCATTATTTGTAAAAAATAAACACTGGAATTTTAAATCTGATAAAGTAAATCTATAAATAATAACACTAATATTTAATCTGATCATCTTTTCTAAATACTTACATTACTTGCAAACTTTCTGCTGTTAAATTATTCCACATAATTTCATTTGCCTGAAGATTTTCATTTTCTTCTAGTAAGGAAATATCAAACTCAATTTCTTGCTCTTTAGCAGCTGTTGTTCTAATAAAACATACCAAATAATTTTGATCAATATGAATATACTACCATCTTAGTACACATCAAAGGCACAATATATATTATCCAAAATTATGTTTACAAAGTAGAGCAAATACAAATAGAATAAATCAAATTAAACCCAGGCACCAAGATCTAGTCATGTAATTTCAGCCTTAATTTCCTCATTTGTAGAATATGGCTACTAACCTGTTCATTCCTGTCACAATGGTAATAAGTATGCATGGATAAGTAATTGATATATCATCATAAATTGAATATACATATAAAGTCATAGCATTATCACTATAGAAATGTTAAAATATATATATAATTTCATGGATTAAATACAGTTTTAAGCAATGATGTAGTAACAACTGACAAATTTTTAAAGACAATTATACAGTGGCGCCTGGGTGGCTCAGTCAGTTAAGCATCCGACTTAGGCTCAGGTCATGATCTCACAGTCCGTGAATTCAAACCCTGCGCCAGGCTCTGTGCTGACAGCTTGGAACCTGTTTCGGATTCTGTGTCTCCCTCTCTCTCTGCCCTTCCCCAGCTCACATTCTGTCTCTCTCTCTCTCAAAAATAAACATTAAAAAATTTTAATAAAAATAATTATATAAATTAGTTGTCATTGAGAAAGAACTTTTAAAATAGTTAGAAACAAATTAATCAGTAAATTCTATGTCCTAACAATAGAATATCTTATTTCATTAAATACTATATGGTAGAAAAAAATAATATCACAAATAATGAAAGAAGAGTGAAAATATTATACATACATACCTGTGAACATCTATGAAATTATTGTATTCTGTGCTAGGGTCTATCTGTTCAACTGACATTTTAATCTCTTTATGGACATTCACTATTTCCTCTGTAACAAGACTGGTTATCTGGCTGTATTCATCAAATATACCTTTTCTGAAAACAAAAATAAAATTTTACAACATTTTTAAGTTTTCAAGGGAAACACAGCCCAAAATGAATTCAGAACAATAAACGTAAGAAATGTAACATCAATATTTACAGATGGTGGTTTCATACATCACCTTATTTCATACACCTGAATGGTAAAGTAAAGGGATTATACAAAGCACAGATTCACAATTTACATTTGATATACCATGATAATAGCAAACAATCTAGAATAAGGCATTACTTTTTCCAACATGTATTCGACATGCTCAAAATGTAAGGTCAGTGTTGATGAGTTTCTATATCTAAATGCTGTCATAGAAATGTTCAATTCCATTACATGGAACTGTGGATCAATTCCTATCTCTTCAACGTTTCTTTCCAGTAGCTGCTACTTCCTCAAATGCCCTATCCCTTGGTTCTTCTCTTGCTCCTGGGCCTCTGCTCTTTTCTGTGTCTTAATTATAGAGTTTAACTGGTTCTGTACCTTCAATGACATCTTGAACTCTTCTCCTTCAGTAGTAAAAATGTCACATCTTACCTGCCTTCAGTAGTAAAACTGTCACAAAATATATTAGCTCTATGGGGCGCCTATGTGGTTCAGTTGGTTAAGCGTCGGACTTCGGTTCAGGTCATGATCTCATAGTCTGTGAGTTCCAGCCCTGCGTCAGGCTCTGTGCTGACAGTTTAGAGCCTGGAGCCTGCTTTGGATTCTATGTGTGTCTCTCCTTCTGCCCCTCCCCTGATTATGTTCTGTCTCTGTCTCAAAAATAAATAAACATTAAAAAAAATTTTTTTTTAATTTTTTTTTTTAACGTTTATTTATTTTTGGGACAGAGACAGACAGAGCATGAACGGGGGAGGGACAGAGAGAGAGGGAGACACAGAATCGGAAACAGGCTCCAGGCTCTGAGCCATCAGCGCAGAGCCTGACGCAGGGCTCGAACTCACGGACCGCGAGATCGTGACCTGGCTGAAGTTGGACGCTTAACCGACTGCGCCACCTAGGCGCCCCCTTTTTTTTTTTTTTTTTTTAATTTTTTTTTTTAACATTTATTTATTTTTGGGACAGAGACAGACAAAAAAAAATTTTTTTTAATATATTAGCTGTATCTAATGAGTACAAAATAGGGTGGCAAAGATCCAATCTCCAACTTAAGAGTGCTATGCTGTAAAAATATACCCCCAGTCAAGAATGGCCTCAATAACAAGTGTGGACAAGCTTATGCTGCCTTTTCCCATATAAATATTAGGGGCATTGTTTGCTTTTCTTTTCCAAAAGCATTACTCATAAAAATTTATTACTTACAAAATTTCTCTTATTTAATATTCTCTCAATTATTTTATTGTAAATAGCCAAATATTGTTTGAGTTGAGGAAAAAAAGATTTAGTGTCGCTTGGGTGGCTCAGTTAAGCGTCCAACTCTTGATTTCAGCTCAGGTCATGATCCCACAATTCATGAGTTCAAGCCCTGCCTGGCGCTCTGCAGTGACAGCACAGAGCTTGCTTGGGATTCTCTCTCTGTCCTTCTACCCGCCTCCCCCCCGCCACCCCCCCGCCACCTCTCTCTCAAAATAAATTTAAAAACTTTAAAAAAAATGTCTGACTCTCTATTTTGGCTCAGGTTATGATCTCACCATTCCTACGACTGAGCCCCACATTAGGCTCACACTGACAGCTCGGGGCCTCCTTGGGATTCTCGCTGTCCTCTCTCTGCCTCTCTCTCTCCCTCTCTCTCTGCCCCTCCCCCCACTCACATGCTCTCTTAAAATAAATAATAAAACTTAAAAAAAAAAAAAAGATTTAAACTGTTTCAGGCAATGCTAGTTTTGGAGGATTACAGAAATCACCTGACAAAATTTAAAGAAAAAGGAGAGGCAGAGAAATTTAAAACAGATTTAGTAAATATCCCTGGGCTTATGACCACATTAAGTGAAAGTACTGAATAATATTAATGTAAATGAGCCTATCTAGATAACTCTCATAAAGCAATACCATAATATGATATGGAGGTTATTATTAATATCTACCTTCAGACAAATGGAATTTTTTAAAAAAGAAGCCTCCTAACGTTACATCAATGTGACATGGAATTCAACTGCAGTGAAATCATCATGCTTGGATATTTTAAATGCTAGGTCTAAAATAATTGTTTAGAAGTTAAAGATAATACGCTATAGAAAACTACTATGTCTCAAAAAATAGGAAACTACTGTCTCAAAAAGACATCTAGCGATGATGAAGATGCTATTATTGAGGATTCATGTGAAGAGTTTGAAATAACATTGATTCATGAGAGTAGGAAAGGAAGTATTTCTGAATCAACAATATTTAATTTAAATAGACATAACTAAATTTAGAAATTAAATATTTTAAGTAGACATTTTACTATTTTATCAATACCCTTCAAAGTTTACCTATTCAAGTCAACTAAAAATAATTTTTTATCTTTTTACTGGGAAGATGGGAGATCACCTAATCCAGGTCAAAGGAGATGAACTCTACCAAACATGGCCCAAGGTTTTCTGTTGTCTTGCATTGATGTCTATGGTAAACGTGTGCTCTTGACTTATTCGCCAGAATATACTGTTAGCTCCTTAAAGGCAAAAATTGTGGCCAATTCACAGGCAGCGTGCTTTGCACACAGTAGAAATTCAATAAACATTTTTTGATGTTAACTTCACATAATAAGTTGGCAAACAAACCTTCAAAAAATTCTTTCCTTTGATGGAGTCACAGAGTGTAATGCTAAGTGAAATAAGTCAGTCAGAGAAAGACAAATACCATATGATTTCACTCATGTGTGGAATTTAAAAACAAAACAAACAAACAAAACCAAGCAAAGGGCAAAAAGAGAGAGACAAACTCTGTCTAAAGGAAACAGACTTTAATTTGGAGAACAGACAGGTGGTTACCAGAGGGGAGGTGTGACGGGGGATGGGTAGAATAAGTGATGGGGATTAAAGAGCACTGAGTTATGTAGAGAATTGTTGAGTTATGGCATTGTACACTGGAAACTAATATAATACTGTATGTTAAATATACTGGAATTAAAATTAAAAACTTAACAAAAAAAATTCTTTCCTTTGGACTTCTCAGTTGCTCAATATTTAAACACTCAATCCTCCGAAAATATTAACTTCTTAACACTTGTCAACTAATGAATTTTTTTTTCACCTAAATTTCCAGCTAATCGGAGTAGAACAAAAACATACAAAACAGAAGGACCATTCTTAGGGCTAGCCAGAAGGTTTAGGAGATGATAATAAACTGAAAGGAGACGAGAAGTGAAAATCAAGAAGGACTAAAGTGAAACAGATGTCAAATACACACTGGGCTAAGTCAATAACGAAGTTCACAAAACACAGACAACTTCTTTCCAAAAGCTTAACTAGGAGAAAAAATAATGTTAAAATCACTTCATGAAGGGACTTTATGCCAAATAGGAAATGTATCTTACAGTGCTTTTATCATTTCTTCTTGCATCTTTTGTAAGGAGTCCAGAAGCAAAGGAAGTGTGGTGTCATAATACTGATTCTGATGAAGCTGTGCCCCTTTCAATGCCAATACATACTGATTATGTAGCATATGAAGTTTCATTGTGGCTTTGTCGTATCGTTCCTTGGCCTTTTCGGTTTCTTTCCCTGAAGAAAATGTTGAAGAAAGTTAAAAGAGATAAAGATGTTTTATATTCACTATATGCCAACAGAGTGACCACTATTTTATATTATTTCATACATTTTAGGAGTAATTGACAAAATTTTATTAAGCATAATACTACATACCCAGCTCTATACATAAAGTACTGCTTATTTGTCAGTATTTTGCACACAAGCTGCTATGAAGGAGACATATATTACAGTAAATGTTTGATGAATGAAAGTTAATGTACAATTTTTTATGAAATTACACAGAAAAATGGTCTTTCTTATCTTCAAGAAGCTTACACAAATTGGAACAACCAATGTACATGAAACAGTGCAACCAAGAAAACAACAAAGTTTGTAAACAATGTTAAATTTTGAGGTCTGTGTTTGAGGTTTCAATAAAGACAAGGGTAGTCAGAGGTGGCTATGTAGAAAAAACAAACATTAAAAGGTGGGGCATGTGCAGGAAGGTATAAGAAAGACAGAATGGATAATAATAATTCCTTACTCTCGTCTTCCCTTTCCACCTTTCTTCCTTTCATTTCATGAATATTATCCACTGATCACCACCCACCACCAAGAACTGTGCTAAACACTGGGAATTCAGTACCTAGCAAAACAGAGTCCTCAACATATAGCCGCTGGTGAATTGGAATACTGAGTGAAAACGGGGAGAGAATAAGCAAAATTACATAGGCAAGCAAAGAAATAAGCTCACAGAGTAAGTATTAAGGTGAAGGAAATACGTCTGTATAAGTAGAGCAGTTTTAGGTTGTGAATGACTTGAAAGCAGAGAAATTTAAACTCGATACAGGAAAAGTCCAGGGGATATTGATAATATTATGAACTAAAACTTTTTGTGGTACCTTTATTAAAATAATTCAGAAAATATTCACAGAGTGACAACATAAACAACTATATAAATAAATGAAAAAAATTTTAATGCTTATTTATTTTTGAGAGAGAGAAAAAGAGAAAGGGAGTATGAGCAGGGGAGGGGCAGAGAGAGAGGGAGACACAGAATCTGAAGCAGGCTCCAGGATCCGAGCCATCAGCACAAAGCCTGACACGGGGCTCGAACTCACAAACTGCAAGATCATGACTGAGCTGAAGTCAGAGGCTTAACTGACTGATGCACCCCCTAAATAAATGAAATTTTTAAGCAGATCTTCAATTTTCAATGTAAACCAAGCAAATATCTTTATCAATTAATTAGATTTAGGGAATAAACTTTTCAAAATATTTATTATGTTGAGAATTTTATTTTAAAAGTTTATTAATTTCATTTCTGAGAGAGAGGGAGAGAACGAGCAATCAGAGGAGGGGCAGAGAGAGAGAGGGACAGAGAGAATCCCAAGTAGTGTTGTGCTGTCAGTATAGAGCATGACACCATGCTTGAACCCACGAACCGTGAGATCATGACCTGAACTAAAATAGAGAGTCAGACGTTTAACCAACTGAGCCACCCAGGCACCCCTATGTTGAGAAGTTTTGACGCCACAGGCTCTCCTCTGCTGCCACTCTGCATAGGTTCAGCACCCATCTAAGTATTCCCTATAGGTAGGAGTCTGAAAAGCATTCCCTGTTGAAGAATGTGTCCAGCTAAGAACCAAAAGCAGAGTAAAGACAGTGTTATTGTGAAGAGAGGAGACCTCAGACCCTCAGACATGCACAGGCAGGGCAATAGAATGAGAACAGTTTGCTTGCCTTTCTCATCTCCCCTCCAGTTCTCAGACAAAGAAACTGCATCTAGCAGATGGAAAAGAAAATCTTTCCAGCATACTGGTAAGTCCCTGCTACCAACAAATTCTAGTGGTTCCAAGTACCAGAACCACCACTGACTTCCAGGGAGCTGCACAGAATTATTTTACAGAGCATAATTCTCTAGCCATAGCCCATCAGCTGGTTCCTGCATATGGGGACATTATTAATTTCCTAAGTTATTTGCAAATTGCTACCTTAAAAAGCCTATTTTACTTTATAACATAAAGAACTTCTCAAGGAGAAAATATTTTAATCACCAGAGTATCTTTCCTAGCCCTTCTATCTAGAAGGGCTGCTATCTAGAAACAGGTTCTAACATCAGGTGGATGGAAACAAATATATTAATTTAGTTCTGATCTGAAGGGATCAGAAAAAATAACATGAGCCACTAAAGAAATGGATATTCTCACTTTTGGACTACAACTCACAGGATAATATATTTTATTTCATGAGCCAATTATCATATACATTTTTAAATATATAATTAAAATAAATTCATGAAATAATTCTTCCCCTTCCTATGAAGGATACCATGTTATTTTAAAAAGGTATGTTTTATTTGAATTTTTAATTCTTTTAAATCTTCATTGAGAACTCAATATATTTTTTTGCCTCAGTTACCCTACAGAAATTTTAAGTCATTCTGTATACCACTAGGGATTTTTTTTTAACTTAGTAATTACCAAATTATCTCAGTAATACTAATCATGAATGATATTTTAAGGTTCTCAGTAACACATTCTCCTACATGTTCAATTAATATAATAGTTTTTTTTTCCACAGAATAATATATTTATTTACCCACAAATATTGCTATTTGGCATCCTTCTTACAAAAATACATTTCAAAAAATGTCCCCAAGAGTCTATGCAGTTTACATATCTATGGCCAGCCTCAGAGCCTCCGTCAAAAATAACAATCCCTTTATCTCCCTATCCACACTAGTCAGGATGAGACTCCTATATGAAGCTAATACTCAAAAGCCAAAGTGCATACCCAACCAAATCAGAATCCATTTTTTGGCTGGAGGCTAAATCACATTAATGTCTGAATGAGAGTGAAAACTCGACAAACACCTGCTGCAGAAGCTGCCAGAGCAGCCCTTTCCAAGGCCCTTTTATTTTCTTTTTTTAATTTCATTAATCATTTTTAAGCTAGTTTAAATATATGTTACTTAAAATTCAGCAAATACTGACAGAAATTCCAATGGTCATATACAATTAGGCAGACAAATTGATTCAAAGTAATAAAGAAATTTTCTAGAGTCTACGTGTTGATAACAAGAAAATAAGGCAAGCATCTACCAGACAAGACTATTTAAGTACTGTGTTCTAATTTGTTAATTGTTATTGTAAATTCACAAAGTATAACTACATAGTAAATTCCATATTTTAAATCATTTTTTAAATATTACTTTTTATATGAACTCTATTATTCCTAATTAATTTCTTGGATTTTTAGTACAACTTCAGGAGTCAAGCTCTCCACACAAACATTTTCATGGAGACATTTAAACCACCCATCTGTCCTCCTATCTGCACAGATTTTTTAAACTGCAAACTACCCATCTGTCTTTCTAGATGGTGAAAAATGATGCACTAAATGTGTAACGCTCAGCTAAGATTTTATAATCTAAAGTCTTATTAGAAAAGTTAAGAATTTCTTTTTTTTCTTTATCATACCCAGTATATGACAAACGATCTGAAGAAGACTATTATAACCATATCAAAATATCAACAGCTTATAAGTGGTAATTAACACAATTTATGAAAAAAATTAAATGCCTTTGAAAATATCCAAGGCAGAATTTATTACATTAAAATACTACTACTACTAATAAAGAGCTTTGGGTTTAATACGAGCTTAATAAGAGCTTTGGGCTTAAAACTGAATTTGAGGGCGTGTTTTAGCAGGTTTTTGGTTTGTTTGCTTTTGTACTCTACAGCTCACATACACTTATGCATTTGGTTATCTGATGTACTTGTGCATGTGCGTGATCGATCAATCGACACCCTCCCTCCCCTGTAGAAAGCTCCAAGAACATGTTCACTTGCTATGATTTCAAAAGGGATTTTATTATAGTTTTTCCTGATTTACTTTAAAATAATTATTTAGGTCCCATACAAACTATATAAGTAAATTCAAGAAATAGTAATACCTTGTGAAAACCAAAGTCACAAATAAATTATTTTCTGTTCCATTCACATAATGAAACATGTGGCAAAAAACCCTAACAATTCTCGCCACGTCACTTCTTGGTGCAGAATATTTCACATCATTATTACTCTTTCTTAACTTTTAAATAACATTTGAGCCTAAAATTAATATGAAGTATACAGATTAAGTAAATTCTTATTGACAGGCACAGAATTATACCTCTGTTGCCATATGACTTTTTTTCTTTTTTAATGAAGAGAGGCATTCAAGCAGGGCATGGAGTTGTCCCATGTGTCAATTAACAGGCAGGGAAACATCTAATTTTTCCTCCTGCACATAATGAATTTCACAAAGAGATTGTATTATAATTCTTGTCACCACTTGTTGACAAATCTGTTTAATGTTTGTAATAACAGAGTGTATACACAATATGCCATGCCATAAACAATATTATGAAGCTAGCAAAACTCAATTATGTAAGTTTGACATTTACAAGAGACAGGCAAGACTATTCATTCAGCTAGTCTAGAAAGTCCAGTATTTTTTATTATAAACTTCAGAAGTGTTTGCCATTTGCTAAATATTATGGTGGAAAGCCTCCTGATAATAAATGAGAAGTGATTATTTTCAAAAAGCAAAATGCCTGCACATAGACTCTGCTTTGATTTGGATAACTAAACGTTCTACCATCTTACATTTTTCTTTCCTGTCAAACCATTCCTCCTCAACTATATAATTTCTACTTATTGCTCTGAGAAAGAAGAAAATGAGCAAGAATTCATCCTAACTTATAAGTTATTTGGGCCAAATGTCCACATATGTTTTTTCACATGCAAGTTAAAATTCAAGTATGACATGTGGGAACAATGAATGAGCTACCCATTTTATTCCATGCTGTTCAGACAAAAGCAAAGTTAAGAAGTCATTTTTTGTCTCAGCTTCTCCTTTGATTAGTTTTGCAACCCAAGCAAGTCATATAATCTAAATTTTAGCTTCTAATTTCTAATCCTGGGTGTTAAACTATCTGCCCTTTTCAATTCACTGGGTAGTGATGAAGAATGAATGGCAAAAAAATT